TTCTAACGAAAATTGATAAATTTATATCGTTCTTGATATAGATTTTTTAATTTTCTACAAATAAAAAAATGAGAATTCAGAAAAAAAAATTCACAGCAATATAAAAAAAAACAAAATATAATAATTAAACAAAAAAAAATTAAGAAAAATATATATATAATATATAACATAATAATATTATATATAAGATATAAATTAAAAAATTCAAAAACTTTTCAAGAATTTATATCAAGACATAATAAAATTTATGATGAAATTCAAAAATAAAACTGCTTCTACAAATATAATTTTATTAAAAGTGTTTTTTCTAACTTATAATATATAAACCGATTTCAAAATAATTTTCAAAACTTTTTTCGATTATTTTCTTCCGTTTTTTCACATAGCTGTTGTATCACGATAATGTATATAATCAATATTAATAATCAATATTATTAAAATTAATAATATAAATTATTAATTTAAAAATTCTTAATACAAAATATGTTATTTGTGCAATTGTCTATTCTTTAGATTTATTATTAGCTGACTTCTTTTTCCATTTTTTTCAAATATTTCAAAATTTCAAATAATCATTAAATTGAAAAAAGCGTTGAAAACGATTGTAAAATTGCATTATAAAATGTTGATTCAAATAAATTAATTAATAAATATTTTTAAAAAAAAATTCCAATGATATACAATTTTAAAAGAAGTCTATTTTTAAGGAAATTTATTGTAAATTTTATTATATCTTGAAATAAACAATTTATGATAAAAGTTTTTAAATTATTTGATTATATCTTATATTATATATATATGTATATCATATAATAACGAAGAAAAATTTGTGTAGAAAATATCATCAAAAAAAAAAAAAAATAAAATAAATATGTAACAAGAGATTACAAATTGATAAGATTAAAAATATTATTGACGAAACAAATTACATTTAGTATACAAATATATATAGATACCATATAATAAAAATGATATATTACATTACTACATTAACTACATAATATTAACTAATAAAAATATATGTATATATGATACTATAAATATAAAATTTTCTTACAATTATTAAAGCAAATGCATATAAAAAATGAATCAATACATCATAGATTATTACTTCAAATAAATCGAAAATAAATAAAATAAAATATCGATTCCAAATACATACTTTTCTTAAAAAAATATTCATATGTATTACAGAATAAAGAATAATAGATTACAAAAGATTATAATGTAAATAACAAATTTTCTTCATATAAAATTGAAAACATCAAAAAAAAAAAAAATAAATAAAAACATTATACATTATACAAACAAGTACAATATTAAATAAAATTAAAAAAATATTAAATAAAGACAATATTAAAAAAAAGACAAGTACAACTCAAATACCATCATCAATATGCTCTATTATATCACACATGTCTGATGGCATAATTTCAATCACTTGTTAATTTTTTTAATTATACTATCTATACTATACTAAATCAATGTCAAAAAATTAAATCTTTATCATTGACATCACAAGCAAATAAAAACATAAATCCCAAAATAATAGAAAATGAATTAATGAAGTAAATTACTGAAATGTGAAACAATAAAAAAAAAATCTAAAAGAAAGATTAAAATTTGAAAGATTAAAATTATATCAATTTTGATATAATTTAATGTACACATAACAATAAATTATATTAATAATTTTATGATTATTAAATATTAAATTATGACAATATAATATATTAAAATTATATATATAATATATTAAAATTATGACAAGCAATCATATTCATACTATAGAAGAGTTATGTGTAATATCTAATAAACAAAATCTTATGTAAATGAAAAACAATAAATTCAGAATTCTAAAATAAAAATATAAGAAAACATAGTACATAATGAAAATAATTTGATTGAAAAAAATAAAAATACATATAATATTGCTATATAAAAGTATACACCAAAAATTCTATTACATTCTATACAATTTGAAACAGAAATTAATTATCTATATATAAAAATAGAAAGATATAAGGAAGCAAAAGAAAGAAAAAAAGAAAATGATATATTCTGAAATAATGAAAAAAAATTCTATAAAAATATCATGCAACAAAGAAAATAAACAATATATAAGAATAAAATTATGATTTCCTAATAACATGTGAGATAAACTAACTTTATGCAATAATGAAAATAAAAAAAAATGTACAAAATATTATAATCAAAACAGAATTTCAGAAAATAATTTCATAAATATATAATTAAAGACTAAGCATTAATAATATATAAAATATAACTATTCAAATACAAACTTTATCATATAAGTAATAAATGATCTCATTATTAGAAAAATAATAATATAATAAAGAAAAATATGATATATGAAATCAAAAAATCAAAATACCTAAAATATTTTCAAATCATTGTTCTATTACTTATACTGTCTATAAATAATATATAAAAATAAATATATAAAATAATATATAAAAATAATATATAAAATAATTTCATTAATTATCAATGACACACATATATATACATAGATAATGATATATACATAAGATAATGATAGAGAAACAAAAAAGCTATAAAAAAAAAAAGAGTTAAGAATAAAGAAGAGTTAAGAGTAAAGAAAATATATGAAATAAATAAAATAATAAAAGAAATATCTATATTATTATACATATAACTCTAATTATAACTCCAAAAATATAAATGTAATTACAAAAAAAGTTTTTGATTCTGTTTCATATGTTTCAACTAATTAAAACAAATATTAAAAATATTATAATTATAAGTATATAAAGTTTTAAATATGATTATAAAATTCTTCAATTAAATTATAAAATATAATTATAAAATATAATTATAATTATAATTATATCTTATACAATGAATGAATGATAGAGAACAATCTATGAAGATAGAGAACAATCATATAACTTAAAATGAAAAATATGAATCTAAGTATCAACAAAAATAAAATTTAAGTATGAAAAAACATCTTTCAAAATAATTCATTGATTTTGCATATGCTTAAACCCAGTTTCAAAATTTTTTAATAAAAAAAATATAGTTTTTATATACAAAATAGAGAAAAAATATGATATATCATAAATTATACTAATTTATAAACTTTGAAATTTAACACTTACACAAATAAAATAGTTAATTAAAAATAATAGTAAAATATCTTATTGAATTTTTAAATAAAAAAAAAATTAAAATACTAAAAATCAAAAGGAAAAATAAACTCAAAGTAAAATAATAGAAAAAATATGAATAACAAATTCATAGGTAGATAGAATAATATGTGTACAAATATTTAAAATTTCAATAAAATAACAAATATAACATAACAATGAACATAATTAAAACAAAAATATGAAAAGTAAATATCATTTATATTACAAGCAAAACTCAATTCCAAACACATCAATATCTATATAATTCTATATCTAATATAGATTTAAAATTATTAAATGAACAATTATAAATATTGAAAATATAAATTTATAAAATAAACCAAATCATACATAATATATAGGAAATGCAATATTTCAAGATATGTAAAACTTTATAGATAATAAGAAAAAAAAATTAATAATCAATGAATTATATGCAAACTTTATAAAATTTTTTTTATAATAAGCATAATAGTTAACTACTATATTATAATTGTAAAATATATGCCATTGATCAATCAAATATAACAACAACAATAAAAACTATATAGAACAGAAAATCATATTAAATTTTTTTGTCTACAATTTTTATGTAGACAACATTATTATATCATGTACTAATTATACATAGAATAAAATATATATATATAAGGTTCATTAAAAAAACTATATCCCAAGACAAAAGATTTAAAATGATATAAAAATGTCATAAATTTTTCAATCAAGAGCTGCACAATGAAATTAGCATTAAAAATTTTTTAAATTGATTTCATGCATTATTAATATTTATTAATATGTTATAAGTTACATAAAATATTAATAAACTATTTTCTTTAAAAGTATCATATATTAATATTATTTAATTAAATAATTCAAAGGCATTATTTTAATTAGTAATAAAATATTTTTTGAAAGATGCTTCTTAGGATATAAAGATCTCTCTGTTCATTTTTTTTTAATGAAGTAATTTATTAACTTATTAACTTAATTTATTAATGATACTTATTTCTATTGTCAAATCAAATAACTTATTAAAAATTTTTTTTTCTATTTTAAATAATAATTATGAAATTTGCAAAGATTTTTTTTTCATTTAAATATTTGTTTCATATTTATGATTATTTGTTACAAATAATATTTTATAAAAATACATTATTGCAATATTATATCAAACATACATCAATATCATTCAAGCCTGCATGTATACTTTCATCTTTATATTCTTCCTTCATTCCATATTTCTAGCAAAATTGATAGATCTTAATAATAACATTAATACATGTTTACAAATAAATAGGCAATATTTTTAATTTTAATCAAATAACTTTCAAAATATATGTTTTTTTCAATACTTTTAATTTTTTTTATATTGAATTATATATTTTTTTTATAATAATTTATTATTATAAAATAATAATTTATTATTATAAGTTATAATAATTTTTAATTACACAATAAAAAAGAAATGTCTTAAATAAATATTATTAAGTTTGATAATAGTTATGTAAATATTAAGTGATTAATATGCCATTTTGTTTAAAAAAAAGAAAGAGCTTTAATTCCAATGAGCATCTCTAAAAAATTTCTTATACTCCATCTAAATAATTGATTCCTTAAAACATTTAATTTAATATTAAATAATAATTAAATAATAAAGAAAAAATCGTAATATCTGCATATATTATAAAGTTATAAATTCAATTTGAAAGTTAAGCAATTTTTTATAATATATTTATGTGATATATTTTTTTATGTAATTAAAAATATGTGAATCGATATATTATTTCAAAAACAATATATATATATAATTATTATCTATCTTACATTTGGATCTTCTGTAATGGCATCCATAGTCATAGTTTGATTCGTGCTCAAATTTCCAGACGAGATATTTCGTATAGATTCTACATTTGCATTTGAATCGTGAAATGAGACTCTTTTAACGGATGTTGTTTGCGGTTGAGATGCTAATATTATATTTGATATGTTTGCATTATTTGATCTGAGTGTATTTTGCTGCGACATAACCGCAAAACTAGAACCTCGTTCTGGAGGCAGAGGCGCATCATTGATATCATTTTGTGTAGCTATTAAAAAATATATATAAAATATTATTTTTTTTAAATTGATTTATTAGATCTAGTAAAAAAAATACTTACGAGATGCGTTTGATCCATTAATGATTAAGCTATCTAATCGCAACATATTAGAATGCAATAATTGTTGAGTTTTAAGATGAGATTGCGATTGTTGCGAATGATGTTGCTGTTGATACATTTGTTGTTGTTTATTAGTTTCTTCCTCTTTTTTCAATTGAGTATCATCGAAATCTATTTGTTTTCGTTTAATCTCCTCATGTCTACGGTGCATTTCTTTTTCTTCATTGGATTGAGACAAACCAAGAGATTTTTGAGAAGAAGTCAAATGAATCAAGGATGGCATTGAAATTTGTCCCATATTATTTTGCATTTGATTAATATGTTGATGTTGAAAATCTGAAGATAAAAGCGAACTGGAATTGTCTTGTTGTTGCTGTTGTTGCTGTTGTTGCTGCAAACAAGTAGTTGTAATATTTTGTGAACATTGTTGAAGAGTATTATTTCCATGTGTAGTTACGACATTCATAGAATGCATTGGAGATCCACTGAGAGATCGAGAAAAATGATTTCCTTTAGAGGATTGGTTTGTTACATTAGTTCTGGATAAATTGGAATGATGTTGCTCTAATGAATTATTTCGATCTTGCATCATTGTTGTTTGAAATAAAGATTGCTGAATTCTTATATTTTCAGTATCTAAATCATTACTTTCTTCATCATCATCTTGTTGGTTGGCTATTTCTTCGGCTCTTTTTTGAAAATCTCTTTCTAATTGAAGAGCTCGCAATTGTTCTTCTTGTTGCGATGTTCTATGAGATAGTGCACTTAATTCCGCTATTTGTTGATCTCGCCATTGTCTTGCAGCTTCTCTTCTGCGTGCCTGTTCCTAAATGATGATAATAATAATAAAAAAATAAAGATGAAAAAAGAAGAAAAAAATAATGAAAATAATACGGACAACAACTATAATAAATTATATAATAAATATTATATAATATATTATAATATTATATAATATATAATAAATTCAAGTATGATTCAATAAAAAAATATGAAAAATGTTATTGTATATCAAAAATAATTTTACTTTGCACTTACTTTCTCTTTTTCTTCTCGTTGCCATGGATTTGAAGCACTATATTGATACTGACGTGGCTGTAATGTACCTGTTGTATTTGTTGGATAATATCCTCCACGCGGAGGATCTTGCATACTTGCAGTGTATCTAAATGAATAATAATATTTTTTATTTTTTAATTTACTTTCTTCAACTATTATTATTTCATTACCTCGAATCCGATTGTTTATTATAGAGAGGATGAGTAGAGGTGCTTGGAGGTGGCGGTGGAGAACTTTCGGTAAATCCTTCTTCTGGTAGAACAGCTCGTATAGGAATTTCATTTGAAATCGAAGTTCCTTCTGGTGCAGTTTGCATTCTATTTATTCCATTTTCATCATTATAGAATTCATTTTGTATCTCTGGATTACTATTTAAACAATACTGCGATCCAGCAATATGTTGATTCTGATCTGTATATAATTTTCCAATGTCTCGAATATTTTGATCTCTTCCATAATCGTGTAATGTCCCATTTGATTGCATACGAGTTAAGTCATTTTTTCCTCTTAATGATATCATACCAACATGTCCATATTGGATATGTCCAAAATTTTGTTGTTGCACATTGTGATGTTGATGTTGATGTTGATGTTGATGTTGATGCTGGTGTTGATATTGATGCTGGAACTGTAGCTGATGTTGATGCTGATGGTGTTGAGATTGAGGTTGAGATTGATGTTGATGTTGATGAGTATGTGAAGATTTTCCATATTGAACTATGTATGAACTATATTGTGCATCCAAATAATTATAACTCGAAGGACCGGTTTGTTTGGATGTTGAAACTGATGATGTGGATATTGTTGTTGGTGGACTTGATCCCAAATTTGGTTGTGAACTAATAGATTTTGTTGGTCGAACAACAGAACTAATCGATGATTGAACAGATGTATTTGTTTTTAAATTATAAGTAAGTGGTCGGTATTGATTTAATGGAACTGAAATGCCACCTCGTAACTCGCGTCTTCTAACTTCTTCTTGCATTTCTTGAAGTTTCGCTTCTTGACGGATTATATCTCGAGACGATTGAGATCTTGGAGGTGCTATGCAAGCTTGTTGTTGCGATTGACCAATATTGTCAATATAAGATTGTTGTTGAGGTACATATGAAGATATTGGACGGTCTCTAGTTTGATTCATTTCAAACATTCCCGGACGATTTAAAGAATTTTGTGAACCTTTCAAATTCTTTTGTAATTGAAGAGAAGTTCTATAATTCGAAAAAAGAAATGAAGAAAAGAAGAATAATCATAAATATGTGATCGTCACAAATTAATTTTTAACTTCAATAATTAAATAAAATTAGAATAAAAAAATATAAATAAAAATATATGAAACGAATAATAAAACAAAAAAAAATAATATATATGAAAAAAAATTTAAACTATTTATAAGGATGATATAAGGATGATCTCATTAATTTTAATAATTTTGAAATGGATATGTTATTAAAGACAACATATTGAATAATTTTTTCTTGTATGATTTACTTTAAGATAAAATATGTTTAATATTATAAATAAATCTCATGGACTCTTTCAATAAGTTTGATTTTAACATAGCTAATATATAAAGATGTTCTTCGAATTAACTTACAGAAGATTTAGTGAATCTATTGATTAGTTTCTTTCTCATATCGATAAATAATTTTGAAAAATAATATTGAAAAAAATATTTAAAAAAAAATACTAAATTTTTTAAATATATATAAATATATACATATACAAATTTTTTTATATACATATAATTGACAATCGGCTTTATTTTTAGTTACTTGCAAAAATTTTTCAATATTATATATCAAATTTTTTCTATTCATATATATTTGTAAAAATGCATGCAGCAATATACGATTATCATTTTCCTATTATTTATATAAGTACAATGTAACAAATGAATTAATATCATTAACATTTAGTATTCATCTATAGTAAATTTGAGTATTCTTTGAAATGTTGCATATTCCTATATGCTGATACAAATACAAATATATAGAAATATATATAAAAAATTGGATATATACTATCAAAAAGTTTTTTGTGAATATCTTGGAATCTATATTTTAATCTATAATATCTAGACTGTTTACATATATAAGAAAAACTTGATCAAAATGATATTTTTAAAATCTATTTCAAGTTCGTTCAAATCAATAATGGTCGTAAAGTTCATTTTACATATCTTGAGAGTCATCAAAATTAATAAAATCATCTTTATTATAAATTTACAAAATAAAGAAAAAAAAATAGAAAAAAAGAAGAATAGATAAAAAGAAAAAGAAAAAAAAAAGAGGACAAAAATAAATGAGAAAAGTTATTAAAGAAAACGGAAGTTTCTTACCTATCATCTAAATGTTGAGATGGATTATGCTGTTTGGTTGTTGCATCTTGATTACGATAGATACTCAAGTTTTGATAAAATCTTTCAGCTTCGTTACCTTGAAGAATGTTCGAATTTGTTCCACCATTCACATTTGTATCATTGTGACTCGATATATGATCAGGATTCAAATTTGGTGACGATTGTTGTCTAGTTACAAGACCATTCGATGGTAAAATTCCGATTCTCGTTGAATCATGCAAATTATGACTCGAACTATATTAGGAAATATAATAATATAATATAAAAAGAAAGACAAATATAAAAAAATCAATATAAAATTAAATCATTTAAAAATAAAAAAATAAACGAATAAATTAAAGAATATAAAAATTATAATGTAAATTTTAAAAGGAAAGATTTACCGAGAACGTAATGATGTCGAGCCATTGATTGTAGCCATTGGTGGAGGTGGCTGCGTAACTGGTGGTGTGACACTATTACTTGAAGATGCTCTACTATAACCAGGATTAAATACTTCGTGCTGCTGTTTTCCATCTGTTCCTACATCTATTATATAAATATATAACATTAATTTAAACTTATTCTTTAAAAATATCGACATACTTCACTCATATAATTGATATAGGGTTTATAAAATACATATATTTTAAAATTTTATTAAATATTCAAATAAAAAAGTTTAGTAAAGTTAGTTTTCTTTAATTTTTCAAATAATTTAATCGAATTTTAAAAAGCTATTTTGTTTTAAAAAATGTTAATTACACCTGTTTTTATTATATTTCTATGGGATCAAATTTCAGTAATAACAAATTCAAGCAATATCAAAAAAATCAAATAAATATATATGATATAAATAAATATGATATATCTATTATGCAAAATGAAAAAAACATAAAATTAAATAAGACAAAAATATAAAAATACAAAAAAAGTTATATATATATATATATGTATATATACTCTGTTCTTTCTTCTATAATATAATAAGTATTTACTTACTGTGTAATGCTGGCACAGATTTGCTAGTATGCATTTGTTGTTGAGGTGCAGTTGTATCGCGTCCAAGCCTAGATGGTAAATCTCGTTCACTCATGCGACGAGGTCCTGTAATAGTTACAACATATAAAAATATACTTTTTGTAATATCTTATTAATATATATATATATATATATAATATACAGGAAATGTACTTGAAATCATAGTATAAACAGATAGTATTCTATCTATATTCTATAGTGATTCTATATTCTGCAAAAAAAAAATTTTTTTATTTAATATTTTAAGTAAATTAAGTTTAAAAAGTTTTTACATATAAGTGATTCTTGATTAGAATGAACTATGTATTATTTATAGAAAATAATTCTACAAATAAAAAAAAAAAAATCTAAAACAAAAAAATATTTTTCTTTTTCTTCCACTTATTTTTGCATATAGAATCATCACTTAATTATATCACATGATTTCGGATATATCTTATTCTATATATATATATATATATATATATATATATATATACAGAAAAAAATATTTAAAACAAGCATGAATATCTGAATTAACAGATAGTATATCTGTCAAATTGTATATATCACAATATCAAAACTGCTTTAATTCTATACAAAATATTTCAATATTACATTAGAATAGTTTATCAAATATTAAGATACATAACAAAAAATAAATTCATTTGAACTTAATTACAACTCTGGAATTAATTAGCCGATTTGACTAAATTTGATTATTTTAGTAAATTTTTGAAAATTTATAAATAACTGAAGATTAATTTATTTTTTATTTTATATTATATTATAATGTTCTAATTTATTAAAATTTTTGTTTTTCAGCAAGTGGACAAGTATTATTTTGTTGTAGTCAAAAACCATATAAATTATTATATTATAAATTATTTACTGTACAAAAATACAAACAATAATAACAACAAATTGTTTATTTTATTAACAAAAAAAACACAATAAGTCAATTACAAAAAATTGAAATAAAATTGAAATCTTTGAAAATTACAATAATTTTTCATCTATAAAAGAATTATTACTATCATACTACAATCCTCCCTATGTAATTCTTGCTACTTAATTCTCATAAGATTTTTTATTTTAAAATTATAAAAAAAATATTGGCCATATTTTAAAAAATATAAAAATAAATATAGAAATAAATATAAAAATATTATAAAAATATCAAAAATGGTCAAAATTACATTCATTATATTAAGCAATTAATTGTGAGATTCGAATATTCAAGTAAATATAATTATACAAATAAATATATACAATACAAAATAAATATATATAAATAAATGAGAATTATTGAGTCCCCCAATATAAATAATACATGACGTAACATCAGAACGATGAAATATAAATGAAGTCTCAATTAAGGATTCAATCTTTTTTCAATTATTTTCGACGAATATTAATATTATTAACAATGAAGAAAATTAAATGTATGTAAAATTTATGTTTAATAACAATATAAATATTTATATTGAATAATAATAAAAATATTTAAAAGAAAAAAAATATAAGAAGAATTTATAATTTGATTTATCTGAGATTTTGTTACAGCAATCCGGAATTCTATGTTTTTACTCAAAACGCTTATTTATCTATTTTCATTTTTTACATGATTTACATATTTAATTTTATTTAAAAATTTCTTTTTAAACATCGAATAAAAAAATGAATCAATTTTATAGATATAAATAAATAATTATTGTATATATAAATAACTATTATAATATAAATAAATATTTATAAAGTTTGAAAATGATCATTTTACTTTCGAAATAATTATATAAATATATTATATAATTATATTTACATTGAAAAATGTAATTGTAAAGCGCACATATTATTTTTACATAAATTATTTTCTTCAATATACCATTATTGGCAATATTAATAATAAATGATCAAAAACAATCGGATTCTTGGATTCTTTCTTCTCAAAATTCATCTCATTGCTCTCGATATCAAATTTCATAAGATTTCATGAATAATTTTTAATAATTAAGGCATGTCTCTAAACACTATTGGGTTTGAGATCAATTGGAATTCTTTCAAATTTCTTCGCTACATGATTTGAAATGATGTGGGATTAATTGATATTTGATAAAAAAAAATTATCATCTAAAATTTTTATTTCGTCATAATTATTATGTAAAAGAAGTCTAAAAATTTACAGAGCAATATATGAGACAAATAAAAGACAAATAATTAAGCATAAATAAATATATTTTAAAATATTTTTTATTTAAATTACTTATTTTATTTAAACTTATATATTATATTAATATATAATAATAATTATTTAATATATTTTTAATATTATTGAAGAATGTTAATTCATTATTATTAATATATATTAATAATTATTTGATATATTTTCAATATTATTAAAACTCTTATATTAACTCTGTATGATGCAATAAAATTCTCCCAAAATGCATAATGGCTGTAGTTTCAATTAAAATGAAATTTAAAAGATTAAAAAAAAGAAAAAAAGAGATCCTAAATAGATCCTAAATCTAAAATTTTATTTTTGAGTATTTATTTATTAATTTCTGAGAAAGATAATAAAAAAAACTTTCAGTACAATACATTGCATATAATTTTATCTACATAGACGTTATTAATACAACTATCTTCATATTATAGATCGTCATCGCATTGAATATAAGATAGATAATCGATGACATAATACAATAGCGATACTGATTTTATATAGACTGTTATTGTAATTTCGTTCAAAGAATATTTTTTATCTGCAATATGATCGTTTTGTTTTAAACTATCATATTTTGAAATCAATCTATCGATAAAGTTATAGAAATAAATAGAATAGATGCTCGCAATATCGATATATAATAATATATAATATATAATAATGATTATTTTCATTATTATTATTTTTGTCACTCGTTTTAATTTCAGTGATTGAAAAATGTTGAAATTCAATAAATATATCACATAATATACTTGTTTATTGCAATAAATACTCAAAACTACGAATATATTATTATCGTATAGAAATAAAAACATATTAATTATATATTTTTCCTACCATTGGCAAGCAACTAGTTATGTTAGTGCAATCATCGGCGATATTTTATATACATCTTATAAATACTATAGGATTATTGTTATTATATTATCGACTATTTAATTCGATGACTACATAGTTATTGACTATTTGACTCAATGACTATGATTGTTATTGCTTGTTATAAAGTTGTATTTCGTCTTAGGTATAGGAAGAATTCAATGTACTGTATTTTTAATAATATTTTTAATAAAAAATTTTTAAATTAATATCTTAGAAATTAATAAAAACAAATTAAATTTTAGATTTAAAGTCCTTTTCTTTTGTCTTTTTTTTTAAAATTCATATTAATTAGAAGCATCTATTTTTTAGAAGAATATCCTGATTTTCTTCGATCATCTTAAATATAAAATTTCTAGATATATATATATATATATATATAAAAAAAACTTTTGCTCTCTTAATTGTAGTGAATCTGTTGCGATCTGTCTCGGAAATTATAACTACTTTTTAATTACATTGTATTATACAATTACAAAAAAGTACATTATATACATATATTGAATTTTTATGTCTAGAATGACATACATTTAGAAATAATTTTAATACAATGTGAAAAATAATATTAAAAATATATCAAATAATTATTGTTATATATTATTATATACATTAATATAATATAAATATATATATATTTATATTATAAATTAATATAAATTAAATAAATATATAATAAATATTAAAATAAAAAGTATTTTAAAATATATTTATTTAATTTTATATACATGTCTTTTAAAATCTGCTTATTGCTCTGCAAGTTTCAAGGAATTATTTTATATATTATAATAAATTATAATGAAATAGTATTTTAATAGTAAATTTCAGATCGACATAAGTTCTTGTTATCAAATACCAATCATATAGCAATCAAATTTCTTCAACAGATACAGTATATTTTTTTTAAATATATCAAATTAAATTTAAAATAAAATCAAATTATTTTTTTTTATGTTTATACATACATACATAATTCAATTAATCTTTTGATTTATTTTGATATTAATATTTTTAATAATGATATATAAGAAAATTTTGTTTTCTTAATGAACTAATTTTTTAACATTTTGTGATATTTCTACATATAAATATTGTGTCTTAAAAATATTAGAACATCCGTAAATTGAAAATTCTTGAGATAATTTCAATATTTTCGTTTGCATAAATTTTCATTACGGATTTGTTAATAAATTATTAACAAAAAACGCTGAGTAATTATGGATTCTAGTTGATGCGCGTAGCTTACTTGATTCATGATAATTAGCTACATTGGCGACCGATCACGACCAAATTCAAATAATATATTTCGAAAAATATATGTTGAATATAACAAATATTTTTATCTATAAAAAATTATATCGAATTATAATTCACATTCACGAAAAATGAAAAAATAATTAAATAAATATAAATAATATTCAACATATTTTCAACGAAAATTTTTGCAAAAAAAAATGTTACTTGAAATTATCTTAGAAATTTCCACTTTACGGATGTTCCAATATTTTTGAAATATATATAAAGCAATTGTTATATTAATTATAATTCTTTTTTTGAAAAATACTAATTACTTTATTTATTTCAAAATCTTATATACTATTAATAAATAGTATGCAGATTGTTCAATATCATTTTAAGTTATAAAGATATAATTCCAAAACGGTCGAACTAATCAAAAGTATTTCAAATCAAGACTCTACATTACATATATGTACGAATTGAATCAAAACATTTCGTGAACAAATAATATCGATTTTTACAATAGTTACGTTTTTATACATTGATGAATATGTCCGCATAATTATTTGCATAGATTTTTATACGAGATATATTACATTGCATGTGTTTCTTTTTTCGGAAAAAACACAAATTTATCAAAATGATTCTCATTATTTGTTTTTAATTTATGAATAGTGAAGCGGTTTTTAAATTTATATTTCTTTGCATTTTTTTTTTTTTTTTTGGAATTTGCTATTGCTATACAACATAATCAAATATTGATATATATATATTTTTTTAATTTATACAAACTTTAATTGTTATAATATATTATTAAAAATATAATAAAATATATTTAATAAAAAATATATATTATTATTATATTATTTAAAGTGTACAAGATAAAAAAAATAATCGGATCAGTAGAAATTTTTTATCATATAAAAAATTTTTGTCATAAAAATAACATTGACATAAATTTTTAAGATCAAAGTTTTTTTTTATTGTATCATATAGTATTCATTTTGTAGCGAAGAACAAAAGTCTCAAGAAACCATAAATCGCAAATGATCCGTTCTTTTAAAAAAGAAATCTAAAATTTTATAAATTATTTTATTCAATATTTCTATATTTTTATTGATATAATATAAATAAAATTGCAATATAAATAATATACAATTGATGAGCCAACTAAATATTACAATATTAGCTTACGGAATATATGAAGATTCAGTGGGGAAAACAATTATATACAATTATATCCAGAAGAAATATCAATATCGTTGCAACTTCCATTAATTAAATCAATAATTTATTGATCAGAAATTAATATTATGTTAATTTAACATTCATCAAAGATTGCAATGAAATATTGTTTTTATTGATAATAGCTCAATGAGTAAAAATAAATTAAAAAAAAAAATCATACATGTAGTAAACTTCAATTAAACGATCTTACAACTTGACAAAATTTCTGCTATTGTTCCAGATTGCATAAACTGGAATGCAAATCATACTTTTTGAAATATGTGTTATTCCCAGAATAAAGAAAATAACAAAATATTTCGTTTTAGCAAATCTTTTGATTCATCATAATTTAATATATTTTTTAAAGATTGATAAATAAATGAAGTAAATCATAGTGTTGTTTATATCATAATATAAATTCATATAAATTCAGTTAAGTAAATTAATTCGATATTATGATTCTTGCTCAAATATTAAAAATAAAACGTTCCAAATTTTATCATTCTCTTTATTTTGAGAATAATATATGTTTCAAAAAGCATAATTTCCAACTTATGTAATTCATCGGCAGAAATCAAATTGTGAAATTATTTAACTAAATATTATATGTACAATTTTTTTCCTTTGATTTATTTCTATCATTGAACTATTAATGATAAGAACAATGCTCCTCTTTTATTATGAAATTAATCTGATCTGTAATGAGCGTTAAGATAACATAATATTAATTTCTGATCAATAAATTATTGATTTAGCATATAATGTAAGTTACATATTGATATTTTTTCTGGACGTAATTTTCTTCATTAAATTTCGATATATTTCATAAATTAATATGTAATATCTAGTTGGCTTATCAATTGCATATCATCTACATTGTAATATTTCAATAAAAATATAAAAATATTAAATAAAATAATTTATAAAACTTTAAATTCGTTTTTAAAAAGAACGTTTATTTATGATTTATATTTTCTTTAAATTTTTTGTTTTTCGCAACGATATAATGCAATAAAAAAAAATGTTAATCTTTAAAATCTATATCAAATCTTTGTCATTTTTGCAACAAATAAAAATTTTGTATATATCTTCATTGATCTAGAAATATAAAATTTAGAAATATGATAGCTACGATATTTAATTTTTATATACCTATACATATTTTTAATATAAAGATTAGTTAATAATATAATATAATCATGTTTTTAAAATTTTTATTTTTTATGCGTTTAATAGCCGAAAAAATATTATAAAATTTTTGAATAATTAGGATATATTTTTTACAAATATTTATAATTATTATTATGAAAATATCCATACTATTAGAATGACTATTTTATCTCTATATAAAAAAATAAAATCATCTTTTATTATATTCTTCTAATGATCAATTTTGATCATATTTATGAAAACATTATTTATATGAAAACATATTCATTATAACTACAATTTATCTTGTGATTAACAATTAAAATCAATTGTTTTGTAAAAACAAATTATTTTGAATCTCTATTCTGTATACGAGATCGGAATTTAATATATGAGATATATTAAATCCCATTACTAATGAAATATAGTAAATGTTTTACTTGTAAAATGGATATCCAATGGCTTTATTTATTAACACATATGTATATTTCTACGAAAATGCACATATATTAATATATACATTTGCTAATAATAAAAATGTATAAATGAGTAAATGAGTAGTATAATAATGAATAAATAATATTTTGTATTAAATATTGTTGCTTAAACATGCATCATGTGTTTATATTATTTACATATATATATAAAAAATATAAAATATATATAAAAAAATGTCAAGCAAAATGTTAAGATGGAATATAAATAAAAGCAGACTTGGAATAGATAAAAAAATAATAAAGTAATTATCAAACTGATTCATAAAATTATATTCTTATATTTAAGCATTAATAAATTGTGAATTAAAAAAATATAAAATATATTTAAAAATTATAATGAAAATTACAATTACAAAGAAAAAAGTAAAATTTATCGATGAACTGGTTCTTTACTGATTTCAATGAAAATATTAAAATATATTAAAATATATTATTAAGAAAATTATTCTGAGCAACTTTTTCTTATATATAAAAATAACTTCTTATATATTCTAATATATACATATATATTTTTTTAATATTTAATATTTAATATATATATATTTATTATACATATATAAATATATATATTTTTTTAATATATAACTGACAATTGACTTTATTTTTTGAAATATTAACAAAAATCTTTCAATATTATACAAGACATTTATTCATTAGCCAAGTTTTTTTTCTAATCGTAAATATTAAAAAAAGAAAGAGGAAAATTTGTTTTTGTTATTTTTTTATAATTAATATAGTGGCCTATATTATTACAAATTTGTCATATATTATAAATTTTACAATATTTTTTGAGAAATAAAGATGATTTTTTATTTTTCTAGATAATTTTCTAGATGGAATAATATTTATTTTTTATATCATATGAAAATAAGTATCAAAAAGAATTTTTCTATATCATATATAATAACTATCATAAAAGATTAAAAATGAAAAAAATATTTTGGATAATATGTATCAATGAATTATAAAAATCAATAAAACATTTTTTCTTTCATTTTCTTCTAATGCTTACCATTTAACTATGAGTCCTTAACATTCTGTATATTATTATATTGAATACTTATATATTTTATATTTAAAATAGTATGTGTCAATATATGTCATATAATGCAATGTTTGTATAATTAATGTATTATGTATCTATATATATGTATGATATATATTCTTGCATATTATTTAAATAAACTATGAAAAATAAAAAATGATCTTATCCTTAATTTCTAACACCTGCCTTATGATTTTATTTTAAAATTAAAACCGATTGATGATTATATATAAGAAAAAGTTACTCAAAATGAGTATGCTTAAAAATATATTTCATCATTGAAATTAATGTCTCAATTGATCGATAAGTTAAAAAAATTATTCGAAAAGATTACTTTCATGCGCGATGTTAATCGATCATTAATAAACATATATATATATATATATATATATATATATATATATATATATATATATATATAATTTCTAATTTGCATAACATCCAACATTTTTAACATCAACAAGCACGCATTCAAAAAATGTAATATTGATTGCTTACGTAAAAAGAAATCAAGATTTAGATGAATTCGATTTAATCTTGGATAAATTTTCCAATCCTCGAGCATTAAGTTGATCGTATTATTAGTATGAATTTTTTTTTCAATCAAAATTGGAATTTGCCGATCGTTGATCATATTGTTTTTTCGATTTTTTTTAATTTGAATTGATAAAATATTAGAATGATTATTTTCTTTAATAAATAACATTGAATTTTGTTGAAATTTGTCTTGAATGATGAAATTTTGCTTGCAAAGTTTTTCTTCATAATTTGTTATATTATTATCATTTTGCAAAAAATTCTCATTCCAAGATTGAAAGTATTGTTTATTAGTAGGAAATGATAATATATCATCATTGATTTGTTTTAATTCATGAATCAAATCACATTTTTTTAAATTAAACCACAGATATTTTTTTCTATTTCCTTCTTTCAATTGATTATTTTTGTTATGCCATAATTCTTTTATTCTTTCGATATTTGGATAGGAACTTGATAATTGTTTGATAAATTTAACATTGGATAATTGTTGTTTTGTATTTGTCTTTTTTTGAATATAATTTTTTACAATATTTATTATATATGATGAATCACACTTTTGAATATTTTCTGATATTAACTTTTCATTTATATCACACAAAGATAACATTTTATTCATATCATTATTTACGTCCTTATCAAGAATTATATTGTTTGAAGATATAATATTCATATTCTTATTTGATGTATATGAAAAATGTAAAGAAGAACATTGAGGAAGAGATGATGCTTTTACATAATCAAAATTATATATTTCTTTCAATTGATCTATCATATATTTTTGTTCCGATAATGATAACTTCCGTTTATTATTTATAGATATTTCATTATACATATATGAAGTATTGTAATAATTATTACTATCATTCTTATTTAATAAATTTATTGTTGAATTTTTGAATATTTTATCTGATTCATCTTGTAAACCGTATTGACTGATTTTATTATTTCTTAAATCTAATTCGGATCGAAACTTACTATTATCATCAATGACAGAAAAATAATTTGATCGAGTTTGATACTTCTTAATCGAAATAAAATTAGGTTCCGAAGAAAATTTCTTTAAATTATCTAATCTCATCGAATTAGATCCATGATCAATTAATTCAATATCATCAAATTTCGAAAAATATTTAGCCAAGATTGTTACGCGATCTCTGCAACTAAGGCGTACCTCTTCTGGTGATTTCCAACACTTATTGAAACTGGAGACATCACACATTGTATTACTATCTAGACCAGATAAATCAAGATTTAATACTGGAATGATATTAAACATGTCAGTCTTTGTTTTTGGAATTGTAAATATTTCGAAATCATCATTGTTATTTAATATAACACACGGCGATAACAAGATATCTTTTATTTTTTTTTCTCTTATTTCATCATTTCTTTTCTGTTGTTTCGCCATATTATATTTGTTTGCCTGTTTATTTGTCCTTGTATATTTTTCTTGTTTATATGAAGATGCTTTTCCTCGTTCGTATCTATTTGTAATTTGTCCTTCTTCGTTGATTAATTGTGAATCATAGCGTTTGATCACAACACGCTGCATACCTCGTAGTGAGTTTAATATTACGAGATAATCTTATGAAATATCAACTATGATATTAACCATGTGATTATAAATACTTACGTTATTATTTTCCAATTGGTATTTATCGAATTGATTGCTTGAGAATGGAACTGATGATATTTCATCGACTTGATCGATATAAGGTATTGAATCAAGAGAAAAATTATTATATTTGATGTTTACTGTAGCCAAAGAATCCGAGTTTGAGTCTAAAATAATCGATATTTAAATAATATTTATATTTATCGATTGAATGAATAAAACGAATTGACAAACTTTCAAAACAGGCAGCAAATTTCTTTTTTCGTATTAATTTTTTTGTTTGGTTAAAGTGCATGCATTATTTCTCAAAATATCAAAATTATGTGTAAAATAATAATATAATAATTTTGATATAATATATTTTGATATAATATCGATAAAAATATAATATTGTAAATATCTGAAATCATAATTGAAAGACAAAAGTAAATTTATGTTACTGTTACCATCACCATTATTATCAGCCACCATATACCACTTATTCTAAAATTATAAATTATTACTTTTTATCGCTTTTTCCCCCAATGTTTTATCGGTTTGTTATATTATATTTATAAAATTACGTATTTTTTAGTAATGAATGACAGTTTTTTAATTTTCAATACCAATTCAAAACGAGATTTAGAGAAATTTAAAAGATTAAAATTCCACGCCTTTAAAACAAATCGAAAAAAGAATCGCACCTGGTACTGAATCAATTGAACATTCCAAATCAATCGCGTGCCTTGGAACATTTAACAAATTACCCATTGAATGTGACGTAGATGATTGCTCGTTCATTTCTTGTGCCGTTGAAGCTTCCAAGTTTTCGGACTTGGGTCGAATCTTGTATGCTAATCAGGAACATTAGTTAGTAAAGCGTTAATTAAGCATTCACATCTCGTTGTTTCGCGAGAGCCAGAATACGAAGAATAAAATGGCGTGCAATGATGAATAATGCGAGCGAGAATAATATGTAAAAGCGTTATCAAGCGAACATTCCACAGTTAGCAAATTGAAAGCATCGCGAAAGTGAATTAGAGTTGATTCTTTAAATTCAGACTGATTATTTTAATTTTTTTCTCTTAATTACGCCGTTTTTTTAAATTCGTTGTCTCACTCTCACGATATATACAGTTCTTTCACCACAGATTTCTCGTTTCGTCAATAAAGCGAAACGAATTATGAAACGGTGAAATAACATAATTGAGTTAATTTGTAATATTAAAATGTGAAAGTTTAAATATTCCATACTAAATAAAAGATACATACCTCTGTTCATTACTGGTGATGGTTGTGACAATAAAGTAGCTAAACCATGGTATATGGCACCCTGCTTAGCAACTTCAAGTGTGACTACTGGACCAGTGCGTACTAAATATTCAGCAGCTCTATAAAAAAACAAAATCAATATTAATAAACTTAAATATAAAAAAAACTAACATGAAGAATATTTCCGCAACAACAGTTTTGCGATTATTACCGCAATCTTTAATTTTTTTTATAACACTTACTTTTCTTGAGTAATTCCTACTAAACTTTGTCCATCCACTTTTAACAATTGATCACCAGCAGTCAATCTCCCATCCTGCAGTTCATACATATGTATTTTGATATTGCAAAAAAAAATACAAAAAATTCAATATTAATTAAAGTGCGCATATATTTTTATCATATAAAATATATGAAAATTAATAATAAAAGTGAAGAAATAAAATATATCTAAGATAATTCACGAAATATCTTACTTTAATTTTTGTTATTATTGATAAATCAAAAATTGATAATTGATAAATCAAAAAAAATCATAAAAATTTTTCAGAATTAGAATTTTTTAGAATTAAATAGTTTCAAAAAGGTATTATATTATTAATTTTTTTATATGTAGATACGTAAAAGATATATGAAAATTATTTAAAAAAACTAATAACATTAAATTAATCTTTCCTGAAACCATTCAATTCCATCAATCATTTATTTTTTTCTTATAAAATTTTTTTCACAATGAATAATAATAATGATAAAAATGAAGGTGGTAATATCTAAACTATCCTATAGAAAAAGATATTTTAATAAATGATACATACATATATCAGAAAGTAAATAATATTTACTCACAGCATCAGCAGCACCACCAGCAACTACGCTCTTTATATATATTCCAAGTCTATCTTGACCAGCACCCTGAAAATTCGAAATATATTATTATATATCGAAAATATTTAAAATTTATAGAATATTCTATTATATATTTTTACATATATATATATATATATATATATATATATTATATAAATTTATAGAATTATAGAATTTATAGAATTATATAAAAATAAAATATAATTTAATAAAATATATATAATTTATAAAATTTTCTATTAGAAAATCTATATTCTATTACAAGAATTAAAATTTATTGCAAGCATATACTAATAAGTTTTGTAATATAGAAATATGTATTTAAGCATATGTATACAAATATAATATATATATGGACGCATACCTTTGCCGCAACGATACTTAAACCCATTCCATTAGTAGATTTATGTAATTTTATTATATGTATCTCAGGCTGAACAATATTTGAACCTGTATGACAAGAATATCCTCCAGACCTATTACTCATTGCACTTGGACTGCGAAACTATTAAAATTTAAAAGTTAATATCATTTAAAATATTTTTAACTATGAAAAAAAAAAAATTTTACATTATTATGATGATCTATCATATATATAGTCCAGTATCCACTACTAGTAGGTTGTGATGCCATACGACAAAGACCATCTCGTTGTAATGGCGCTAAAAATTCTGCTAATCCTGGAGGCACACCGCGAATAACTTCGCAACTATATCCATCTTCAGGAAGTAAAAGTGCCAATGCCAGTGTAGGTTCTTCCTCAAGTCGAATCTCCCTGCCATCAGCACGTGCTAAAGTATCAGCCACACTTTCTGCTACCTAAAATTTAATGGTAAAAATTTTAATTTCTTTTCATTTTTTTTTTGTATCATATTTTTTTTTATGCGATACCTATTTATTCTATTTAATCACAAGTATCAACTTACTCTGACTACATTCTCAATTAATTCTGCTGGAAGTCTTGGCTCATCAGCAGCTGGTTGATATTTTTGTAACAATGCTCGGACTTGAAGAGAATTCAATTTAAAACAAGTGGAACTTAAAGTAGCAAGTTCCTCTGCATTATATTTTGGCGCTTGTAAAAGATGAGTCGCTTGCATAATTGTTGCTAAGTGACATTGACTCGCGAGTTCTAAACCTTGCCTCTCAGCCCAAGTTTCAAGAGCGTTTAATCTTGCCTTTAATCTACGACCGAACCATCTAACACATAAGTTTGTGTTTGAAACTAATGCATTAAATGTAGTTGCATTTATTGTATGAAATAAGTGACTAAATAGTTGAATCGTGAGCGCAGCATTTACTCTACATCGTCTGAGTAATGCCATCGTACTCGAAAATATTTGGAGAACACCAGCTTCTTTAGCAGGTTCATCTGCATCAGCCATAAATTGTGACATTGCTGGCGCTAGTTCTAAGGAAATGCATCGAACTAGCGATGCGAAAGCTGTATGAACTGCTTCTGTCAAAATGTCCTGTGCCCTCGTCGAAAATGCTCCTACATGACGATCGTTTTTCAACATATGTAATAATTCCGAACCATTTGCTAACCATAATGCCAATGAAGATGCATCCATATACCGTTCCTATGTGAAATATAATAATAAATGAATAATATAAAATCTTGCTTTGACCAATAATATAAAATCTTGCTTTGAAACAAAAATAACAAAATAAAATTAATTAATTTAATAAAAATTATAATCCAGTAATGAATATTAAAATTTATTTGTTTGAATATTTAATCATTAATTTAAATATTTAATCAACACATAAACAATGTTGTTAATTTTTAATAAAACATCGACTATTTATTTTTTTCTTGTATTATTTTAAATTACCTGTATTATCCGTTGAATCATGCTAGCGACGTTTGCTAACATTACAGTTAATCTGTGAGCTCTCTCTGTTGGTTGTAATTCTGGCCTATAATGTGTGCTTGCACGATATCTTGCTGCCAGGTAAAGCGTATATGTTGGAGCCAATTTAAATTGAGGTGCTGATGGTTCAACATCTGTAATTACTGCATGAAAAAATGTTTCTTCCGTTTCTTCAAGAAATTCTAATACAGCTGGTAAGATTGGGTCCGTTCCTCGTGGTTGTCGATCATTCTGTAATGTTCTATCGAAATAACAATATTCAATGTTACTCATAATTCATATAATAAATTTATTTTAGTTTCATTTCCTCATTAAATTTGTATATTTATAGCAGAGATTATTTTTAAAAAAACACATTTATATCTTATATTTTTTTATATTTTGTATTATATATTTTGAGTTTTATCTTATTATGTCTCGTTTCAATATTTGTTTTAACTTACCCTAAAGAATCCCATCTTTGACCGAAAAATCCATTCTTAACGATAGACATTTGTCAAACTAAATTCTTTCGATAAAAAATAAAAGCTCGTTACCTGTTACCGTCTCTACTGCTGGTAAGACTGGCAGTCTCAACGTTTCCATCGAGATCAAACGTAGTTTCATAATTATGAGTTGATTCCAAAGCATGCGTTGGACTTCGAGTATGACATACAGTAACAGCAGCAGCAGGAATGGGTGTAGATTTGTTTGGACTAGACGAATGAATAACTTGATCTTGAATTGATTGGCTCTGAATTTGAACTTGATTCTGTCCATTATTTGAAGTTCCGGATACTGATCCATATCTTTCCATGTTCGTTTCTTGATTGGCCAAGTCTGGGGAGCGTCTACGATACAAAAGCAGGCTACGTGCAGGAAAAAAGAAGCAAACTAGGAAACTACAAATAGAGTGCAGAAAAAAGAACTAAACTCTTTCCTTCATGATCAAGAGTGGAAAGAAACGGAAAAGGAAAGAGAAAGGAAGAAGAAAGGAAGAAGAAAAGAAAGAAGGAAAGAGAGAGAAATTGTCGTGCAAACATTGTAAAAAGCATGCTCGAAAAATATATGCAATATTGTTTCACACAAAAAATTATTTTGGTGATATTGTTATGGTTCAACATCGATTTTATATTTCTATTGTTACTTGATTTCTATTTTCATTTCTTTCTTTTCCACGTTTTAAAAGATATAATTAATTTACTTGCTAATAAACTAGTCGTCTTATCTACTTATCATTATCTACTCGTAAATTTTATCCTATTTACATATATATATATACATATTAACATAAATATGAAACAATGTGCTTACCGGTCATAATTGTATTCGATTTGTTTTCCAGAATCATGTCGTTGTCTAATTCGTTCATCAGGTGTTGGATCAATGAACTTAAAAGTATGTAATCTGCCAAATTTCACAATTGCTCCATTCTATATAAAAAAAAAAAAAAAAAAAAATAGAAAAAAAAACAGAAGAGAAAGAAGAGAAAAACAACAAAAAATTACCAAAGAATAAAACATGAATAAACAAAAATAAAATAATGCACTAGATTTTATGGCATACATATAATATAAATATTAATATTGAAATTCTATTTCTAATAGAAAAAAATATTTAATATATTATATGATATATACCTGAAGTATTGTTGTTTGATGTATCCTCTGATTGTTTACATAAGTATAAGCATCCCTGGAGCAAGGTGTAAGAGTGACAATATTTTCAGTAAAAGCAATTACACAGTGCCTTGGCATAACCGTTGGTCCTGTCAAAGTGAGAGTTTGAGCTTGAACTGCCTGTGGACCTATTGGTCTTTCTGAGCCCACCTCCGTGACGTTTGGTTGTAACCGATGTCGTACACCGGCACCGTTTGAAATTTCACTACCATCAGGATTCAATTCTAGTAAAAAAGGTAATCTTTCATCTTCATATCTGTAAAGCAAATAAAAACATAAATTAAAAATTATATGATTTAATTAAATTATATGATTTTAAAAATTATATGATTATTATAATGATCATTTTTAATCATTTTTCGTTAATATTTCCTATAAAAAATTTATAACATTTTATTGACATATTCAATAAATTCATTTGCATATTTAAAATATTCATTTTAAATATATATGCGATTATTTTTGTAAATCAAAAAAATGTTTCAGATAAAAATGTATTATTCAAAATTATATTAAAATTATATTATTCAGAAATACATATTAATAATAAATAATAATAAATATTAGTAATAAGTGTTTCGCTTTGAGATAATCATGAATTTTCCTATAAAGAGAATTTTTAAATAGAATTCTATATTTTTATTACATATCCTTGTAACTTATACATTTTCAAAATATTTACTTACGAATGTATTTCTTTTAAACTGTTATTAAATTATTGACTTTTAAAATTTATTTGTTACGAAATTATGTAAATATATATGCAATTATATAAATAAAATTATGCAATTAAAAGAATAAAATTATGTAATAAAAGGATTCCATTTAAAAATTTAAATGTGACGTTCACAGAACAATTTAAGATTATCCCAAAGTCAAATATTTATCATTAAAATGCCCTTCGATACTATATAATTTTTATTTAAAATATTTTTTCATATTTCTAATTTACAGAAATAATCGCGTGTATATATTTAAAATAAATATATGTATTTAAAACAAACAGAATGTTTCAAAAATATAGAAATATTTTTCAATTAGAAATTTCTGGAATAATTTCAACATTTTTCTTTATAAAAACTGTATAATATATTTAATATGTTTTGCTTTAGATATTCCGATCAAAATTAATGAGAGATTTAAATAAGTTTTTTTTCTTATATATCAAAAAGTTTTCATAGTACTGATTACCGTTATGATTTTTGCAACAAACCTGCAATCTAATTCATTCCACTTGCCACTTGGTTTTTTCTTGCGTTTCCGAGGTACATAATCGGAAGGTCTTCTTCGTACGTGAAACATAATAGAACCTGTAAATAATACATTTGATCAATAATAATTTTAAATAATAATTATTAAATAATAATATTTTTTTTAAGCTATAAATGGTTATGTATTTTAATTAAAAATTTATTTATGGTATTTTAATTAAAAATTAATCTATAATATATTTGAATCATATATCCCATCACTCTCATCTTATAGTTTGTTTTTATACATTTATATTTTTATTATAGGAATTTCAAAAAGAAATAACTGTTTCTTTTTATCTTCAAAAATCTGTCATTTTAAATAATAGAATAACATAATAATAGAATCCCAATAAATTATAATAATGGAATTGTAAAATAAAAATAATAGCAATGGTTTTACATTATTTCGTTATATTATTTTATATTATTATATTATTAATTACTAAATTATTAATATATATCTATTATTATTAATATATATCTATTATTATTAATTAAATTATTTTTTTATATATATCTTTATAAACAATTAAAATAAATACAGTCTCTAAATTTAAACGAGTATAAAATTAAAAAATTGTTAATAATTCATACTTGGAAAAGAAATATTTCTTAATATGATAAATTCTAAATTTTATTTAGTTTCCAATCTTCATTTTTATCAAACAAGATTATATTTTTAACTTTATAATCAAATTTATACTAAGATATACTAAAAATTTAAATATGATCATATATTAATATTTTATTAAGTATTCGTATAAAAAATTTCACTTAACAATTCTTTAAACATCTTGTTTCACATCTTCACATATTTTGTTTCATGTAAATAATATTAATTTATAACTAATAATATTTAGTAAGAAACCTAATAATATTTAATTAAATNAATATAATATATTATAATATATTATATAAATATATATAAAATATATTTTCATTTTCATATCTTCTTATATAATTCTTCTTTGTTTTTCTTTAAAATCTTTATTTAATTTTCTAGATACGAAATAAAATTTTTCAAGTAAATATTATTTTATTAGAAATATTACAATCAACAAAATTAATATATTATATTTTATTTTAAAAAATAGTTTCATTATAAATAATATATTATAAATAATTTTTCGTTAGAAATGTTAACGAAATAAATATATTTTTTAAAAAAATAGAAAGGCAATTTTTTAGATTTCAAAGAGTATATATCAGAAAAATATATCATAAAAAATTATTATACATAATTAGCGTTTTTAAATTATTTTAATTAAGAAAAATATATGTTAATAATTATAATAGTTTTAATTATATAATTAATAATATATATTATATTATATATATATAGTTATAATTTTATAATAACTTGTCATTTATTATTTCATCTTATATGTCAGTTTTCTATTAATCATAAATGTCATTTACGACAATACAATAGTCATATGTTCTATCTTTCACATGTCTAGTTGACCTACATTAATCAATATATATTCACTGATACTATTATAGCTTCTTATCTCGCTATTTCAAGCAAGCTATTCTATTCGTTGTCTTGTTAAAACAATCGGAAAATATTGAAAAAATATTACCAAAGAAAAAACAAAAGTTTATTTTCTTGAAGATATTAATTTAAAAAGAAAACATAACGAATTCTAAATATCTATACTTTTCAATAATATATATGTATATATATATATATATATATATATATATATATATTTATTGATCAAATTTATCTAATCATAATGGAATTATATTATGAAAAATATATTAATTAGAATTTTTAAAAATCTATACAATTAAAATTTTTACAAACAAATAAATTATTATTATCATTAAATAAAGAATAAATTTCAAAATTCTTACGTCTAATTCCCCAATCCATCATTGTGTATAAAAATTGTCAATTTCTTTTACGTGGCTCCTGAAAATATGTATGCGTATGCGCGTTCGTCTATGGTCCTTTTTTCGATCGATTACTTTAATTTTAACCTTTTAAATTTCACTTTTATAATCAGAATTACAGTAAAAAATAGAAAACTATTATATTCTCTAAATATCTTCTACGTTTTTATTGCAATTTATATGTTTTATTACAAATATTTTAAAAACCAGGTTATGTATTTGACATAGCACTTAAAATTTTATTATTGGCATGATAATACTTGTGCATTGAAGCTTTTCCTTTAGTGTTCAAATACAACAAATATGCTTTATTAAGATAAATAATATAGAAAAAAAAAAGAAAAAAAAGCATAAATATATTTAATTATTTAATTATTTAATTATTTAATTATTTAATTATTATTAATTAAAATTTCTAAATTAATATATTATTATAAAAATATAAATATCAATTTTCAAAGAAAAAAAGAATTTAAATTTCTCTATTTAGAGGTTTACTATTTACAAATTCATGATAATACGTATAAAATTGTCTCAATGTGCTTTTTAATTCTTTAGTGCATATCATTTGATATATTACATTATAATATGCAATATTTTTTTCACATTCAATGACAGATTCTTTACCAAACAATTCAAAATATTGATTCATCTTGATTATTGTATATAGATCTAAACATTTCACGCAAACAATAAAAAGAAGAAAAATAAAAATATCTTTTTCCTATACAAAAATTTTTTTACGATATAATATCAAATCACAACTGCCAACAAAAGTAACGTTAAATTACGTCATAATGTTGCGCGACTTTAAGCATTTCAGTCAGAAACAAGATTCAGTGAGCGGTTCTCCAAACAATAAGCAAGCGCGCGCGCGCTTGCTTATTATACCCATTGACTTATATACATACAAAAAACAATATGACACGGCGCAAATTAAATTTGAAAGACTTGTAGTTTGAAAGACTATTGTATTAACATATATATATATATATATATATATAATTCTAATGTTTCAATAATTTTTAATTTTTTTATTTCACATTATTTCTTAATTATTATTATTTAAACTTTTTAACTTAATTGTATGTTAATATATTCGAAAGATATATCTTTGGAAATCAAAAATATTGATTAAGATTTATATATCAAGTTATTAAATAAATAACTTAAATTAATTTAAATTTATTATTAAATTTATAATATAAATTAATTAATTTTTTCACATTAAATGAAACAAGATAGAAATAAAGATAAAAATAAAGATAGAAATAAATTGCAATGGCAATATAATAGAAATAGAAATCTCTATGATCTGATTATATGTGCATCTCTCTTTATTTAACACAAACTTTAGTTGCTTATAAAATACTTATTAAATAAATCTTAATCAATTTCTAATTTTTTTTATTTGTATATCAATTTTTATCTTTATGAAAATGAATATATAAATATATAAACACTCCATTTTATTTCTCTATCAATCAAAAATCTTATCAAATTATTTTCATTAAAAGTACTAATACGTACCACGAGTAGAAGAATGATTCATAAGAATAGCTAAAGGACATTCGTCATCATCTAGTATATATTCTTGTTGAGTTCCTCCATTAAGATTATTTTCACTATTTACCTACATACAACATTTAATTTCTTATATATATGTATATTAAATACATTTATTTTTATAGAAAAATTACTAAATTTAGAAAATCGTTATTATTGAATTATAATCTAAATTTGAGCTTTATTCTTTTCAAAGTTGTAAATATCTTCTACATTGATATTATGATTCCACCATATTTGTCATGAACAATCAAAATTCTTTCTAATCTCAGAAATAATTAGAATTCATTTTTTTTAATTTCCTCCACAAAGTTGAAATGAAATAATGAATATTTCTCATGACATATAAGATAATTAGAGCTTTCCTCTTTAATAAGTTCTCTTATTAACAAGATTTTGTTTATTCTTTCTATATCTATATTTTATATCCAAAAATTAGATTAAAGTTTAATTTCTATACAAAAATAATTTTTTTTTGTAACGATATTTTTGTACATTCAAAAAATTTTGGATTGAATCACAAGAAATGCAGTTGAAAACAGAAACTTTAAGAATATATTTAAAATATGGTAGAATTACTATATTAATATAAAAAGAATATTTTTCATTTTCCAAAAAATGAAGATCAAATTTAAATTAATTTATTAATACTATAATAAAATAAAAAAAAAAAAAGATTTTGAAATATGTTTAATAAATTATTTTACTAATACTAGTAAACATATTTCGGATTTTTTTTTATTATATCTTGATTATATCATATGACATATAATATATAGAAAACATTTCATTTAAACAAATATATTTGAATATCAAAAAATTAAAATTATTAAAAAAATGTTTTAATAAAAGTTATTTAATTCAGAGGAAGAAATCACATTATAAACAATTTTTTTATAAGTAAATCAATAGTGAGAAAAATATCAAGATTAATTTTTTTTAAATATAGAATATTTATAAAATCATAAAATTTTGAATATATTAATTAATTTATTTGAGTATTTTTTTTAAAAAAATGTATTAATATGTATAAAAAAAATATATCTATTTATATCGAAAAATTGATTTTTCAATTAAAGAAAATACTTAAATAAATCGATTAATACATTCAAAATTATATTATGTTTTATTTAAAAAGTGAAGTTGATCTTGAAATCTCTTTCATTATTTAATTTAAAAAATGAAATAATTAATTTAAAAAAAAATGACACAAAAAAATGATCTGCATTTCCTTTACCAAATATCAAATAACTTTATTAAACAAATAATTTTATTAAATTTTTTTTTGATAATTTTAATTTCTCTGAAATAATGAAATATTCGTATTCGAAGCGTATCCCTTAATAAAATATTTTCACACATGTTCACAATATATATATATATTAATGCATAAGAAATAAAAAAAAAAAGATAAAACTATTTTTATAATAAATAAATCGTAAAAAAATATTCAACTAACCTGTACAAGACAATATTGTTGTGGATCAACTTTCTCTAAACCATATTTAGAAAGCATTTCTCGTACGACCTGAACTGCTGAATCGCGAACACTTAAAAGCAAAGTTTTATATGGAACATCTTTACAAAGTGCTTCACCATAAATTTTTAATGTTCCTCCAGTATCAGGACCACCATCTTTACTACGAAATTGTTGCAATTTTCTCTCCAATTTTTGTTGACGTCGTCTTCTCATCACAGCTTCTGGATTTGAAATACTTCTGGTAAAGCTCGTTTCAGGTAACTCTAAAACAACAACATTATCATATTATATTCATATTATATTTTATACAATATATTTCAATTTACCAACATATTTCATAAATATTCAATTATATTCATAACAAAAAACTTATACCTGTATAAAGTTTTTCAGCTACTCCATTTTGATCAACGGGTATACTATTCTCATCTTGTTCTAAACTCTTTAAACGACTGAGTTTTTCTTGTTTTTTCATTTGTTTTTTTTCACGTTTACTCAACTTTCTACGAAAACTAGATCCATCCGAAGAGGAGAAACCAACACCTTGAGCGTTAGTCTTATCATCAATTCTTCTTAACAAAAAACGTCCCTCGCGATCATCGATGTGCCAATTCAATTGCACTAACAATGGTTTTTCCTCGAGTCCAAGTTTACGCTCTTCTATAAATAAAATAAATGAAATAATAAAAAAAAAAATAAGAAAAAAAATGGATGAAATTGTAATTAATTGTATATAATATTTAAATTTAATATAAATTTATCTTTATTATACTTACCACCATTTTCATGAATTTCATAAAGTGCGTATTCTGGAACTGAAAGCATTCGCATATCTGGACGGAATTTTTCAATAAGAGTTTCGATGACCGCTTGACTTGTTGCATCCGATGCTACTCTAATACATTTCGTTGCAACTTTTTGACCACTATCTTGAAAATAAAATCTCATTACTCCATGAAATTCCAAGTCCTGAAAAAAAATAAATATTGTATATACATTTTCAACATTTATTGAATCTAAGAACAGGAAAAATTTGATGTGATTGATACAATAATTTACCTCATTTGGTTCTGAAAGTTCAAACAAATCCAATCTATTAGCGTTCCATTGTTGAATAACGCCGCGCAGAGCTTCGCGCTCAGCTTTTTTATTTGCCAATTCTGTAGCCATTCTAAAATCAATATATATATATATATATAACCAAAAATAAATACAATATGTTTTTATCAATATATAATATGATATATTTTTTATCGTTAAGTTTTTATTAATAACTTTAAATATCCATCATTATGTTGTATATATTTTATTTTTGTTATATATTTAATATATTTGTAAATATATTGTTATATATTTTACTATATTTCAAACATAAATAAAAATTTTAAAATATTTCAAATATTTAGATAAAAATATTTATTCCAATTGTGTTTTTTATGCTTAATTTCTATTAATTAATCAATTTTCAAAAAAATTTATTAACGTGTTCAAATTATGTTTAAATATTTTAATAATTATTCTTTAATCAAATTTCAATCGATTAAATCTATAAGATAACAAGTGAAATTTTGTTTTTTTTTTAATCAAAAGATTTATATAATGTTTTATTGTAGTACATTCAAAGTAATTTTTTCTATTAAATCAAATTAAATTACAAATTAAAATATTCTCATAGTATATCATATAATTTTTAAACCAGTATTTGTTCTTAATATTATGTATACACATATTATGCATATATATACAAACAATATATTATACGATATTATATAAACAATTCTTGATTGAGCAAAATTCTTCTATAGCACAATTCTTTTATAATGATTATATATATATATACATATATATATAATATATATATACAATATATATATACATATATATACAATATATATATACATATATATACAATATATATATACATATATATACAATATATATATACATATATATACAATATATATATACATATATATACAATATATATATACATATATATATACAATTAATTTATATTATTCTTCTATAATGATTAATATATATACAAGCAATTCTCAATTATCAAAAAAAAATGTTTTTTATATAAAATGTTATTTTTATACTAAATGTTTGATATTATAAAAAAATATTTTTAAAAATCATACATAATTTAAAAATATTTAAAATTAAATTTGCAATATATCAGAAAAATTATAATCGACTAACAAAGTGAAAGAAATTATGTTATAATTGTCTGGTCGGTTTTTGAATCGGTTGTAATCGACTCGGTTCGGATATTCTCGGTAATGTTCGAATAAAATCGAGTTTAAGTCGAAGTGAAACACGTCCAACGAATAAGTCGCATACCATGCATTCCAATCTTCTTCGACACAGTCAGTCTTAAAGCCTTAAAAGTGCGCTTGAGTAATTTGAACACGCTTGAGTACCTCTCGTATATGATACACTTAGTAATTTCCGCGATTTTTCGCATGCTTTTTTTTCTCACTTACATTTTTAAACATTTCGTTGTCCTCAAATTTTTTATATAAGAACACATCTATATATAGCACTACATATTATATGCTTTCGTTATGTGCCTCTCTCCCATCTGTCTCACGCATATGTACTTGCATATATATATATATATATCCATTCTGAATATATAATTAAATATTCATATGTTCATAATATGAAGAATGAAAATATAAATATTATATAAAACGATACTTTATCAATTATGTAAAAGATTTTATTTCCTCTCTTCTTTTTTTATTTTTGTTTTTTTTTTTTACGTAAAAACACAAATTTAAAAACAAATGTTTTTTCGTTATTCATATTTTTGGCTAATAACCAATATAATAATACAATAACCAAAATAATACAATAAATAGAAAATTTCTCGAAAGAATTTTTTGTGAGAGAATCATGTTAAAATATATTCTCTTTATACAACAAATACAATTGAAATAATAAAAAAAAGTTATAAAAAAATTGGAAAAGGACAGAAGACTAATGATATCGTACTTACTCTTCCGAGACTGTCATTCTTCTAATACGCTTAAGCAAAATATAAAGAAAAAGAAAGATGATCTATCCAAATAAAACTGAACACTTCAAAAGAAAAAGATAATTCTTGATTTAAAGTTCAGAAATGTACATCAAATGAATCAAATATGAATTTCTAAAAATAATAAATATAAATTGTTCTTATTAGAAAATATAGAATTGTTTTTTATAACAATATGAAACATTCTCTTCTTTAACGTACATATAAATTTCACAAATTCAATCGATACTGTAAAAATATGTTTATAAGAACCTGTCGATTATTAAACATTTTTTTTTATCTTCCAAAAAATATTTCCAATTAAATATAAATATACAATGATGAACTTATAATCCACTTCGTAAGCGGGAAAAAATTTTAAGATTTTTATAAATATTATTCAATTTGTAAATCACACTTTTTTTTATTTTAGTTAATAATTAATAATGTTCAACATTGAAATTGCTAATAGTTTCACAGTGAGCATTATAAAAATAAACGCCACACCCAAAGTTTTTTTATTTTACACATTATACTACGTATACCCAAACTTATTCCTTGCCGCGTAATTACTAAACTGACCACACGAGCAGACTGAAAGCTTGGGCCTCAAGAGTGGGAGAACATTGAACCTTCTGTATAACGTTTCCTTCACCAACGTTACATTATTCTCTATCTATTCCTCTTCTTTCAATCAACTTTTACCCCTACTATTCCTTTATGCTATTCACTGTCATACTATGATATACAACTTGGTCTGATCTGGGCCGATTCAGACTGCTTCGTTCCATTCTATTCCATACCGTTCCATTGCGTTTCAATATATTCCGTTTCGTTTCGTTTCGTTTTGTTTAGTTGTGTTTCGTTCCGTTTTGTTTAGTTGTGTTTCGTTCCGTTTGTTTTGTTCCGTTTCATTCCGTTGCGTTTCGTTATGTTTCATTGCGTTTCGTTATGTTTCATTATGTTTTGTTGTGTTTCGTTGTATTCCGTTGGTTTCGTTTCGTTGCATTTTGTCCTGATTCATTTTGTTACGTTTCATTGCATTTCGTTCCATTTAATTACGTTTTGTTTTGTTTTGTTTCGTTTAATTGCGTTTTGTTCCGTTTTATTTCATTAAGTTGACAATATGTAATATACATATAGAATATTTTGACAAAATTAAGAAAAGAAAATTAAAGATTATATAAGAGAAAATTAAAGATTAAAACAAATACAAAAGATGATATGCAAAAATATTTGTTGAAATTTATTTTTTAAATTATAAACAATTTAATTTTTTATTAGATGAAATATATGAAAATAGAATGTGCAGATAAAATTGATCATTTCACTTAAATTGATCTAAATAAATTAAATTGATTATAACTTAAAAGCGGACATTTTTGTTTACCAATTTCTGGGTTTGTTTTAATCTCTAAAATCATTTTTTCTATTTATTTTCTCTGAATAGTATAAGATAATAATCACATAATTACATATATATACTATCAATTTACTACAATTTTGTTGAAAATGGATGCTTAAATAATCTGTTTATTATCCTCAACTAACCATTCCCTGTTTATTCACATGAATATGTTAAATAGATATATATATTTACATGCACAAAATATATATTAATATAAATATATTTAAAATATATTTATATTAAATGCATTTCCTGTATGCATTTAATCCTTTGCATTATAAATTTTGGTAATATATTACATATAAGTATGTATACATATACTATAGCTATATATATATATATTTAATTATATATATACATATACATATATTTAATGCTATGATGATTAGTTTCAGAAAATTCATATTCAATAAGTAATATATTAATGCTTAATAGTTATAATTATAATATATATTAAATAACATATACTAATACTTAATAATATATTGATGCTATAATGATTTAGATTATTTTAGTTTAGATTATTTGCAAAAAATTCATATTCAAGATAGAAAATATTTAAGAAAATATTTAAAAAAATTTTTTTAAATTTATGTCAAAAAAATAAATTTTCAAAGTACCTGCAGCAATATTTTGATACACATACAGACCATAATATAATAGTTTTGATATAATAGTTTTATTAACTAACACAGAGACAATTCATAATGTGTCAATTATCGAAATACAAAATTCTTATCAGTTATATTATTTCTTCTGTTGACATCTTTTAAGTTGAAGACATGAGCAAGAAATATTAAGTGTATGTGAAAGAAAAAAAAAATATTCTCATATTTATTATATATTATACAAATAATTTGTATTCATTCAAATATTATATTTGGTATGTATTTTCACTAAAGAAATCTTAGAAATTCAATTATAATAATCTGATAAATATAATTTGATGACAGGCAAAATAATATTGATCAAATTTGTTTTGAAGTATATCTCATAGTAACTAGACTAAAACACATTTTATTATTAGAGAGCACATACTTTATACAAAGCAGAGATTTAAAAAAAATAATTCCAAGTGATTTTAATTCCATTATTATTCAAATTATTATTATTATTATTATTATTGTTATTATTCAAAGCATTAAAACTATTTAAAATAACTGTAAGGCATAGACAAAAAGAAAATGACAATTAGCAAAACATTATAATTATTATAATGTATGAAAATTCTATTCTTTTCTTTTCTATTTTTTTTTCATACTTTTTTAATAAAGTCTTTATTTATATTTTTATTTATATTATTTTAAACATGTTATTTATATTGTATCAAATTTTACATGTATATCATATATATATATCATATTCCATTATTTTTTTAATCTGAGATTGCGATGCTTATTTTTATTATATGTAATAAATCTATCATATTTATATGTACATTATATAGAGTATTCATTTAAAAATTTTAATGTAAATATCTTGAACACAACTCATTTACGAGAAAAAATATTAAATATAGAAGCTTTATAGTTTTAAGGGAAAAATATAACTATATTCATTTTTAATTTATTGGACACTTCTATAGTTATTTTTTAAGAAATAAAAAAGTCAATTTTTTTTAATGGAACTTAACATTTTTTTTCTAAAATAAAATTTTATTATTTGGAAAAAAACTTATTAAATAAAAATATTTAATATTTTTTATGAGATTCATAAAAAATATTTAAAAAATTAAAAAAAAAAATAAAGTTTATTTAACGATTCGTAAAGTAACAAAGAAAAATTATATGATATAAACTTATTTAATTTTTTGATAATTACATGATTTTGATAATATTACATGATATGATAAAACCAATAATAATTTTAATTTTTTATATTGCTTTTTAACTTTATTAATTATACACTTTTTAATTATACAGTACTTTTTTAATTATACAGTTTTTTAATTATAAAAATTTAAATTTAATCTTTTTAATACGAATTTCATAAAAATAGGTTGAAATTTTTTTTTCTAAGAAAAATATTAATTTCTATTTAAAAAAAAATTGGCTTCAAAAACTGGTAAGAATGATTATTAATTTTAAAATTATAATCCATAAAAAAGTTGCTGCTATAATTTAGCATTTATATGTATAATATATATTCTTACTATCAATCAAAAATATTAAGATGATTCAATTATTAATTTAATCATTAATTATTTTATAATATAAAACATTCTTTGATTCTTGGTTTTGGTTCATCATGGATAATTATTATGATATACATACATATCTACATTTATATATGTCATTTTGACATATTTAATATTATACATGCTTTAATTTTTTAGTATATAACAAATTTTTAGTATTAGAGAAAAAACAGAAATTTTCTTGAATGAAAATTTTAAAAATAATATCAATTTTCTATTATCAAATAGTTCTTATCGAATTATTTAAAATAATATTCATTTTAATTATTTTATTTTTATATTATTTATAATTAAATAATTATAATAATCAATTTTTTCTAAAATTTTTCTAAGCGAAAAACGAGAAAAATAAAAAATATTAAAAATCATAGTATATTATAATAAATCATTTTATTAAATATTCAAAATTGTATCCATAAATTTTCGAATATTTATTAAATTTTATTTACTAAATACATAACTATTCTTTCGAATAAACAAAAATACGGCGTTTATATTCCGATTAAATTGTCAAATATTTGAGAAAATATAAGACTTAATAAGAATTTAATCGATAAATATCATATTAATTATTTGATTATTTTAATAAAATAATATTATCTTGATATTTTTCATTTTTTTCATTTTTTTCATTTTTCCAAAATTATTTTCAAAAAAAATTATTGTCATAATATTATAATTATGTACAAAAAAAAAATAAAATAAAATTTTAAATAAATGTTATTCAGTTTAATAAGAATTATGTGAATAACATAAAATTAATATTATTTCTCTAATAATCGTTTAAAAATATCTAATTTTTAATAGATATATCAAAAAAATTTGTTCAACATTGAGAAATCAACTATTCTTTATCATTTAATAAAGAAAAAATGAAATTAATAGCTTTATTCGTTTCTGAAAAAACAACTTATAATACTTTATTTAGGCCATTCTATATGTGTATACATTGATCAGCATATACTATAGAGTAAAAATTCGATTTTAAAGTTAAATTTTAATTTTAATCAATATATAAAATTTTCGAAATTTATTTTCTGTTAATGTTTTCAATTTGCAAATACTACAATTATATTCAATTATTTAATAAATATATATATTTTTAAATTTGTTCATGTTCTTTAAAATCATTTTTTTAGTAACTTTGATGTAGCTAGGATAAATATATATATGTACACATATGTTTATATACGATTGTACATAGTATCGATTTATCGTGCTGCTACTATCGTGTTAGATAAAATACATTCAGAGAACTATGTTATAAAATGTTATGTGCAATAATTTTTTATAATGAATAATAAAAATTGCTATTTAAAATTATATATATATATATATTTTTATATAAAAATTTAGCTTTTATGTAAAAATTTGTTCATTAACTTTACGTTTCTCGAATTATTGTGTGTATACATTACTCATTTTAACCTCTTCACTGACCTTTATAATTCTTAATTGAATTTATTATTGTTCTTCATAATCTTCTATATAATCAATTGTAAAAAATTTTTTTACTGATGTTCTTATTTATAACTTAAATAAATCATCAATTGGCACTGAAAGATTGCAATTAAACAAATCTCAAATAGAGCACTAATATATGAAAGATCATAGATAAATATACATAAAGTGAAATATATTAAAAAATATATAATTTTAACGATATACTTAATAATTCACTAATAAAAATCGATAAAGAAATAAGAAAGAATAAAAAACTGCTCTAAAATTAAACTTATAGTTCTACATGTAAAACTTTAAACACACATACACAAGTTTAATTGCAATCGTAAATTCCAACAGGTGTCGCTTTATCATATTCTGAAACGATGATAAATCTATAATATTGATACCTTACTCATTCGTTAAGATTATATATATATATGTTTTTTAAATAAAATTAAAATTCAATATAAAAATATTAAAAAAAAATTTCTATACAAGAAATAACTTTTAAAAATATTTAAAATGTATTTTACAAAATTATAATTTTATTCTGATTATTAAAACTATTATTATTTAGAAACTAATAATAATATAAAATCATATTAGTATTAATAATATTATAATAATTAATAGAAATATTTATCAAATTTAATTTATGATCAAATTATATTAGAAAAAATATAGAACATAATAACAGTTATTTTATTGGTTCGATTATATATTTCATTGGTTCGATTCATGTTCATTTGTGTTTCGAAATTTTTGTAATTTTAATAGAATAATGTTTATTAAATTGATATTAGTTACTATTTGTTAATATATTTCATGATAGTCAATAAATATAAAGATACTAATATGTGTCCTTGAGTAAGTATATTAAATACATAAATATATGACATATTCATGATTGGTAAAATGGAAAAATTATATCAATAAATATGTATTTTCATAATTATAATTTTATTATAGAAATTAATAAAAAGCATGGAGGATGACATCGATATTTATGAAGACTTACCAAATTTTAGAACAGAATTCAATGAAAATGTAAGTATTATAAAATATAATACTATTTATGATTAGGTTAAGTACACATTATACTTAATTGTTTAAAAATTTCAGTTTGTGACAAATAATGAAAATATTGTGGATGAACATCTAAAATTAAAAAAACAAATTACAGAACTAAAAACAAGATTGGAAAATTTTCAAAAGATTAATGAAAATTTAGAAATTAATTTATTTTCATTATTGAAAACTGCAAAAGCAGAAATTGCACGAAAAGATAAAATGATAGACCAGTTAAGAAAAAAGTAAGTAAATGGAAATATTGATAATTTTAAAAATATTTATTAAATTCTGATATATTTATTACAGATTAGATGATGCAACATTCAAAAGAGATAAATATCCTAAAACTAATGATTGTATCATTCATAAATCCACTTTTCGAGAAACCATTGTAAATACGCATCATAAATCAACTGATATTTATTTTCCTCCAAACGAAAAAGATATTGAAACATTGGTAGCAGGTTATTCATGTAATCAAACCAAAAATCAACGCAACAAATCTGCTTTAATTCCTATCACTGTTTTTGGTGAGCGATTAGTTAAAAGAATGACAGATGAACAAAATTTAGAAAAAAAAAACAAGCAATCAAATAAACTAAATAATAGTAATAATGAACATAAAAATAACAAAAGCTATATAGTTAAAAATAATAAAGAAAATGGTTTTTTAAGTGATACTAATTCTTATATTACAAAAGAAACTGAATCTTCAATTGTTCAAAATAAAGAAATTGAATATAGGACAAAATCTTCATCAAGAAATATGATAAAAGATACTGATTTAAATGATAAAGATAATAAAAATGAAAACTCTAGACTTCTGCAAAAAACAATACACATGTCAATGCGAAAAAGAACAAATGAAGAAATAAACAAAGATATTCCTATAAAACGAATAAAATCTACTAGAGAAAGATATTGTTTTGAAACAATGAGAAAAAACGGAAAAAAAGAAACAAATAATATAATTTCTGAATCCAAGGAAAAATCTACATTTCCTCTGTATAATAATTTTGAATCTTCCACTCATTTTAATGAAAAGCAACATAATGTAAAAAATGTTACTGTAGGATGTACTCATAATTCAAGGATCGAATTGAAAAAACATGAAAATTTGATTGATAATATAAATAAAGACAATGAAAGAAAGAATAAAAAAAGAAATGAAAAAAGAAATGCTAATGAACATTCTACAAAACAGCATATAAAATCTACTCAAAATTCAACATTTACTTTAGATGAGAAAAATATAGGTTATCGTTGCATTGAAGTTTTTGAAAAGGATAATTATCGATCTAATCATAGTAAACATCATCATAGAGATAGACAAAAAGGATATCATCATATTGACAATCATCGATCACGTGTAAAATCAACAGCATATATAAAATCGAATCAAATAGATCGAGAAGAGAAATTTAATAAAAATCAATATAATAATATAAAATATCGAAGTAAAAACATTGAAAATATAGAAAATATTGAAAAATTTATTTCTGATTCTTCTTTATCTTGTAAAAAAATATCTACATCAAATACTATTCATGCATTAAATGATTCACAATCAAATTCAATAGAAAAAAAAGAAAGTATTAATATTTTAAATGATTTTCGTAATTATAAAGAAGATTTAGAAACATACCATTTGCCAGTCCCAAATATTAATGAGATTCTTCTGTTTGATAAAAATCAAACAAATAAGGAACTTTTAATATCTAATGAAAAGTTACCAAATACATCTATCTTATATATTTCTGAAAATAATTTTATCAAAAATAAAAATATTGAAACACAAATAAAAAAAATGATACCTTCAAAAGATATAAAAAATATATTACAAGACAATAAAGATATTGAATTAAATTTTATTAAATTAATGGAAAATAATTATCTTTCTAATAATATAAAACAACAGGCATTGAGCCAAATGGAGGTGATAGATCATTCATTAAAAAATACTGTAAAAGATAATGTTCTTCAAAATTCTTGTATTCATTCTACCATTCTTTTTAAATCACCCAAAGAAATAATTGAAATACAAACAGAAAAAATATCTTCAAAAGATGTAAGAAATTTATTACAAAATAATAAATCAATTGAATTAAATTCTATAGAATCGAAAGATAATTATTTCTCTGATAATTCAAAGACATTAACACAGAAAACAATAGATCATTCATTGGAAAATACTATAAAAAACAATGTTTTTCAAAATTTTTGCTCTCATTCTACTGTTCTTAAAGCATCTAAAGAAGCGGATAAGGAAGAAAATAATCATATTAGTATAACTACTATTAATGGCATTGAGAATGATATTGGAAACAATCATAACAATTATTGCAATGATTATGATAAATATAAAACTAATCAAAACAATTCTGAAAATGTTAAAACGACAATGAAAACAGAATATGAAAGTACAATAGATGTCATAACAGAAGTAACACAAGAAAAAGAATGTGTTAAATATATAGCAAAAACAGAAGAAGTAGAGTTAAAAGAATTTAGAAAACCACTACAAAAAATTGTAAATAATAATAAAAACACAAGAATTACATCAATGAATATTCATGGAAAAATAATTGTGTTTGCACGACGCAAAAAACCTGTATGTTTGGCAAACAGCAATGCAAACATGACTGTTCTTATAAACAATAAATATAATATAAATGTCGATTTGCCAAGTACAGAAATTAAACAACATAAACAAACAAACATGACATGACTAATACAAATTAATTGATAATAAAAAATGAACAGAAATTATAATAATAGAAGTTAATAACAACAACAACAAACTACGACGACAACGACGACGACACAACAACAACAATAATAATAGTGATGATGATGATAATGATAATAATAATAAAAAATTATGTCAATATAACATACTAAATAATAATAATAATAGTAATATTATAAATATTACTACTACTACTACTACTACTACTACTACTACTACTACTACTACTACTACTACTACTACTACTACTACTACTACTACTACTACTACTACTAC